CGCATGCACACACATGCACACACACACACGCATGCACACACACACACACACTCGCATGCATGCACGCACACACACAACAACGCTTTTTTGAAACCGAAGCGAAGCCAACACGACAGCCACCACCGTGCGTGGGAACAGCAGGGCTAACAGTGCGTGCGGCCCCCAAGGTCGCAGCTCAGGGTGCCAAAGAGGAGGGGGATGAGGGAAAACAGGGGTTTCTGATTCCCAAGCTAACCGGAGCCCAGAGCACTGGAGGCACCAGGGGTGTGGCTCATGCCCATCCTCCCGGCTCTCGGGAAGCTGAGGCAGGAGGATTACCATGAGTTCAAGGCCATGCTAGGCTGCAGCGTGAGCTCCGACCAGACTGGACCATGGGGCGGAGGGAGGAGGAAGAGGGGGCGGGGCGGCAGGGCGAACCGTGAGCTGACGCGCCCCACCCCCAGGCATGGTCGGGGACCTCCTTCCCGAGGGCGCGGTGGACGGGCTCACGCGCCTGGCGCTGGTGAACGCGCTCTACTTCCACGGCCAGTGGCGGACGCCCTTCCCCGAGGCCGGCACGCACCGCCGCCTCTTCTACAAGTCCGACGGCAGCACCGTCTCGGTGCCCATGATGGCCCAGACCAGCAAGTTCAACTACAGTGAGTCCAGGCGCCGGCCCGGGCCTGGTCCCCCGGGGGGAGGGGGGGCAGCGGGCAGGTGGGCACAGCGAGCTGTCGGGAGACTTCCCGAGCAGGAAGACAGCGCCCTAGCGCGCCGAGGGCGTCGGTTCCTCCCGGGCGGACGCCCTGGTGGGTGACCCAGGCCGGCGGGAGGACGCGCCGTGGAGGGAGAGCTCGCTCGCAAGCGCTGCTGGCGGCAGACGGACAGGCGGGAGCGAGGGCCCTGGGCTCAGGAAGCCCGGCTCCGGCCCAGGGCAGGGCCAGCCTCGGCTACGAGCTAGAGCAAGGGAGGAAAGGGAAGAAAGGAGAAAGGATCTGAGTGAGGGCCGGCCCTCCCGAGGGAGGGAGGACCAGAGAGAGGCAGGAGGGAGGACCAGAGAGAGAGGCAGGAGGGAGGAC